GCTTCCCTCCCCTTCCCAATCCAAGGGTCCTTGTCCAGTTCCCCTTGAGCCAGCACTATGTGCTGACACTTGGGAACACCCAACCCTCCCTTAATCTCTGCTTTGTTGCAGGGTGACAGCGGGGGGCCTCTCATCTGCCAAGACAGCAAAGAGAACTTCTTCTGGGAAGTTGGTCTGACCAGCTGGGCAATAGGTTGTGCCAGACCCAAAAATCCTTCAGTCTTTATCTCCACTCAGTACTTCTACAACTGGATCATGGGAAAAATAGGCCATAGCTCGGGAGCAGCACCTACTCCAGCACCCTGTCCGTTCCCACGTAAGAAGCTGCTGCAATTCTTTGATCTGCTGCAGGAGCTCTTGAAGTTCCTAAAGGCAAAACCGGCTTGAGCAGGGGGATGGACATGCTGCAGTGCAGGCTGTAGTGAACCACAACCACTTCCTTCTGGAACAATGCCTCCTGATCCAAAGGCGGCCCTGGTTCCAAAGGCCTGCTCTGTCCTGCCCATGCTCCTCTTCTGCGTGTATGGAAATGCTGACGTTGACCTAACTGTTGTTGAAATAAAGTTGCCTATTTTTACAGTTAACCACTTCTGCAATTTGTCATGTTAAAAGGAGGGGGGAGGGGCAAGGAGAATTTACCTAATCCCTGAAAAATATTATCTATTATTGCCCCTGGGAGATTGAAAACCTTTAACATCTGATTAGTCTCCCAGCTTCCCTAATTAGAAAGGAACTTCACTGAACAGATTCACAAGATAGTAGAGCGACTTGACTGCCCTGTTTGGGGTGGCTACGCCAGCAGGGGGGACCCCTCAGCAGATTTATCCACATATTTTTCTGTAACTGACAAAACTGTCAGCACCTTTTATAAACGACTCACTCTAACAGTTTACAGAGTACCACTTTCTATTAATACAAATCACAATAGGTAAATATTTATAAGTTGTGGGTGATAGTGCCTAGCTACAAAAATACGTTTGCAACAATCTATCTACCACAAAACAAGCACAAACACAAGCTCTAACACTAAAGCATCTACTAATACCTATAGTGACCACGAAACAAGTTCTAGTTCTTAAAAGCAGTGATTAATGCAAATAACTTAAGTTTTCTCACCCAATAGAGCTGTCCCTGGACAGGAGGAGGGGGGAGGAAGCCAGGTACAACTCATCAGCTGACATTAGCAGTTCAGGCGGAAATTCCTTCAAACTTCTCCCCATCTCCAATCTCTGTTTCTACTGTTTCTTTGGGTTTTAGGTGTGTTTGAGTGACTTTAGTCATAATTGCTAAATTTGGGGCATTGTCCTTAGCATCTGCTTTTCTTGTTGGATAAATGGGCACAGGTCAGAGGATTCCCTCTGCAACATATCTGGAAGAGGGGTTGTGAAGTCTTCAGATCACTCCATTCTTCAGTGTATCCAGGTATTTATCAGGTTTTCCCCAGATCTTTGTGATCTTATTTCCTCTGAGAAACTGTAGCTGGCTCTTTTTCTGTAATTCTTATGCCACACTGTCCCACTCAGTCTCCTGTGTGAGGTAAGGCCTCTCCAGGTTGGCACCTGCAAAATGAGGCTGCACAGGCAGGCAAGTAGGGCAAAAAGGACTGGAAGCGTGCCTGCTCAGAGAGGCCAAGGGTGCAGTGGAAGAAGGGAACACAGGTTCTAGGGGTTTACAGGTCTTGGGGCCAGCAGCTGGAAATGCACAGTGTCTTAGGCTGCTGACTGGTGGGATGCCTCTGTGTGTGTGTGTGTGTGTGTGTACGGCACACCAGGGAACTGGAAACTGGACTCTGGATGTCTGGGCAGGAACCTTCCAGCTCCTTGATCTTCCTTTAACTTCATCAAAGGAAAGCTCAGAGAACTGGAACTTGGTCATCAAGGAGAGCAGCTCCTTGATTGTGTGTAACTGAAATGACAGTCCAACACCCAGGGTGTGCTGTACCTCGGGAAAAAGGGGTAAGCTCTTCAGCAGTCAAATGCTGCCAGTGTTTAATACTTCCACATGTGTGTATTTACAGTGCACCAGGGAATAGAAAGCTGGACTCTCTCATCACTGCAAGTCTCCAAGGTCAAGTTGGATGGGGCTTTGTGCTACCTGCTCTATAGGAGAATGTCCCTGTTCATGGCAGACGAGGTTGGAATGAGATGATCTTCTGACTGTGACCTCACGGCTTTTTCGTAGATCATATCACACGTGGTGGGTGGCACAGGTATCCAGCCAGGGTCCTCAGCTGGAATTGTCAGCATCTGGGATCTCTGGGATCCAGGTACAGGGCATATTTGCCCTATGTACATCGTCGGTCCACAGTGGATCCTCACAGCTGCCCACTGCTTCATCAGTGCCATATAAGAAGGATCAGGGAATAAGGATATCCCCATAGCCATGTAAGAAGGATCAGGGAATAAGGATATCCCCATAGCACCAGCAGCTGCCCTGTCTCCAGTACTGCACGCAACTCCCATCCTGTTTCCTTGCAGCTTGCCCAGTGCCTGAGAGACTGCTCAGCTGAAGACTGGGCTCATGCCACTGCTTCCTCACTTGCTGCTGCTGCCAGGCATCTCCTCCTGCCATGACTGGGAGAGAGGGTGGTTAGGCAGGCCAAGTGCCCCCACACCAGGCAGCACCACCAAGGGACAAGAGACCTCCCCATGGGCTGATATCCTGCCACAGAAAAAGAAGGTGGTGGTCAGCTGGGTGGCCAGACACTGAATAATTTAAGTTGTATTACTTTAATTTCAATTGTATTAAATAGTATTAAGTTGTATTAGTTTAAAATCTAATTTTATTTAATTGTGCAAACTTTATGTTGTATCTGTTTAAATCTGAGTTGCATTAAATTTTATATGAGTTATATTAATTTGAATTTTACTAAACTGAATTAAGTTTTAACCTGTCCGCAACAAAAAGAGGTCTGTATTTTCAGTTCTGAAGCTATTCTACATGCAAATTCTACAAAATCCTGCTGGCTTGACTCTTGCCCAAGCATCCCTGAACTCAGGGATCAAACCAAACTCAGCTAGGAAGAATTTCACATCACATGGCCTTCTGTCCAGCTCTATGCCTTCACTCAGATATTGGCACCATCTACAGTGGAAAAGTGGTGTCTAACACCTTAAGCCTGCTACAACTACAAGTGTAAGAAATACAGTAGTAGAAAAACATGAGAAAGAAAAAAAAGAGTGCAGATGTTGCCCTGCTGTTAAGAGTGCAAAGTTTTACTGTCCTCTGTGCCCTAAGAATGATTTTTGCCCCTATCAAATGGTAATTGGTTTTTTGGACCAACTGTAGAAAGCTGGGCAGTAAGGAGTTAATGCATTGCAATGCCTCAAACACCAACCATGCAACCCAGAAAACAGGATGTGCCTGGAAAAGGGGTTTGTATGAAGTTAAGGCAGCACCTTTCTGGAGGCACATTTCCTGTTCTGGTGACCACACAACACTAAGGACAGCTCAAGCACAGCATGCTCTGCCTGCACAGCACTGGGCTGGGGACCACTCACCCAGCAGTGGGCAATCCCTCCCACCCAGGCTGAGGAACAGCACTCTTTGCACAGGCCAGACCTCAAAGCTGTCCTGCAGCAACTTGTTGACTCCGGAGGAAGGAAAGCTGAGCACCGCTGCCTCCAGCATGGTGTCCATGGTTCTCGGGCCTGCAAGGAGGACACAGTGTGGCAGCAGTAATTCTGCCAATACCTTCCACCTGCAGGACTGATCTGAACTCCCAGTGCCAGAGCAGGATGCTCTTACTGCCTGAGAGAGAGCCACGGGCAGACAGTGTGCTGAGTATATACAAATCCACAAATACCAATTTCAATTTAAAAAATTTAATTTATTGCAGATTGCTGCAACTGTACTGTCTATACGTAAATATACAAATATCAATATAGCTATCTAAATATCCATATATCTACAACCATATACATCTATAAATACAACTGTATACAGAGATATCCCAGGTTGCCCATTTTCACGGGCTCTCCCTTGCTAGCTTCCTCCCACGCAGAGCAGCTCTTCTGGACAGGTACATCAGATGGACATCTAGGAAGCAAAAGGAATACTGAGTCACCACTGGTCCTTGTGTGTGTATGTCTCCCTTGGCAGCACACCTAGCAATTGTCCTTCTCTCAGGGACTATAAAATACAGCCTGACAGACACGCCCTCACTTGGGAATTTAAAACTTGATGTTTAAAGAACATTTAGGAATTCTTCCAAGTTTTCCAAACTTTCAGGTTTTGAACTACCCCAATAAAAGCTGCAGCACTAGCACTGCAAATGGCACCCAGGAGAACTCAGAACAGAGACATTCACATCTCACAATCAGAACTCCAGGCTTGTTCTTTCTCTGGACTGACAAAGACACCTTGGTTCTCTCTTAAATGGGTGAAACCACGGGCATTGTGAGCTGAGTTATTAACTAGCACTGTTATCTGGGATCTAGAAACTACCCTTCAATATAAGCAACAGCTCCTCCAACTCTACCATCAGCTTTTGGATCGACTATTCCGCTCTCCCCTTTCTCTAAAAGTCAGGCTCAGAGTAGCTGTCTCAGTCATCTCTAAAAACACGCAGACTCCCTTTT